ACGCGTTGAACCCACTTATGCTGACAGATATTGGGTATGATTAATCAATCAATATTCATTTATTCGAATGTCTCTTGCAGTGGGTATGGCCCACGGCTGAAGCAAATGTTTTTGCATAGCACCCTACATTGTTGGGTATATTACAAAGAACGGTGGATCGATGATATGACACTGTTTATCAGGCTGCTACTTGATGTAAGCGGTGCATTAGCAATTCATGTAAGCCTGCACGGTTGGTCTCAGCTTCGACGACTTAGTAGAAGACTAATAAATAATGGTAGGCAAGTGAAAAGTTTCTCTGCTCTTGATGCAATCAACTCTAGATTTAGTGATTTTTTTTTCTGTGGGGGTTCATGGAGAAAACTGGTGGACCGAGTTGTAAGCAGTCTGATCATTTGAGGCTTTGCAAAAGGCTTAATTACAGGAACGTCAGCCGGATAAACTAAATATCGACTGCTACTTACTTGGTTTACAGTGAAAAAGTGTGAATTATTGGAAAATAGCGAAGTTGATATATAGTCTGCCTTGCTTACTAGACATTACTTGTTCCTTGTTTTTTACTAGCGGCTAATGAATCTCTAGTATTGTGGCGTCATTCGAGACGTTTTTATTCTGCGTAGTAGCATCGAATTTACTTGATTACAAAATTGCAATCTGGCTTTAGACGATATGCAAGGCCTGAGAAAGTCATGGTATTAGTAAGATGGGCTTATATAAACTCTAATGAGTGCCAGAAAATTAGGTTTAAAATCCATGCTGTACTGTCCGTCGGCACAATTATTAGTCAGTATACCTTTGAATGATCAAGAATTGGTTTCTTTTTTTTTCAGATTTCAACATTTTGAATTTCAAATTTTCCAAAAAAAGAAATGAATTTCAAAACAAATAAGTGTGGGAGTTTCAGCAAGTTCGCATCACGACCAAATCTTTTTTCTAACTTCCTTTGCCGTTTTGACGCTCAGTTAAAATTTGTCATTCTTCATATTTTTCCTCAGAGGACTGTCAATGAAGCAAAACATTCTACAATGTTCCCTCACTTTCTCGACATCCGACGAAAGAGAAATCACTACAGCTACTTCTGTTTGCGTCGGTTGTAGGTAATAGGTCTCCTTAGCAAACAATTAGCGAATTTTTGCTTTTTTGTTGAATAGGATCTTGCTTTTCAAAAGTGGGGTGTGAAGAGTTGCACTGGTGAACATTATAAACTCTTTAATCCCATCAAAATGTTTCACTCGCGCCAAAGCATCTGGATGGGCAGATAGTGGCACAACATCACACGAAGCTAATTCTTTAACACTGATGCGCCTTGCTACATTATATTGGCAAATTTATCTCGAGCCCATGCATAAAAGTTGTTCAGTGATTTCATTAGTAAAGTTGAACTTCATCTATTCTTCTACCGACAAACATAGCACATCATCTTACACCTTTTTCTCGTTGAACCGCACATTTTCTCAACTACCCTTTCTTTACAGGTTTCGATTTTTTGATAGTCAAGTGTGTGGCTGGTCACTGGCAAAAAATATATGCTTCCAGCTTTCACAGATATTCTTGCAGATTTCTGGAGGAGTGTTCATAGCCACACGATTGGTTGTAGCTATTTTGAACTTATATCTTATTGCGCAGCGGATTGTGTGTGTATTCTTTCCACTGAAAGTGAAAAATATTCTCCGCCCTTCAGTAATCATGGTTAGTCTGTTGAAAACACTGATAAAAACATGATATTCAACGGTTCATCGATTCTGCACTGCCCAGCCTGCTTTCCGTAGGTATAAAAACCAATAAATAGGGAAGCTGCAACTGGAAAAATTGTTCCATAATTGTGACATGAAAGCTTCGAACATGCAATAACATGCAGAAGTCTTCAAAGATGAAACTGCAAAAATTATGAGAGGAGTGTTTGGATGTTATGAAATTATGGAAACAGTTACAAAGCTGAGTGGGATCTGAGGCAGTCTTATGAGCGCCAAAAGAAATACCATTAACTAGAGACTCAGACGGTAGGTGATAACTGGCAGGCACACAGATATTTGAGCCTTTTTCTCTTTGTAACATTTCTAGCAAATTTATCAATTATACTTACAGATCTGCTTGTTTTTCGCTATCTTCTTTTATGTTGCTCTAATCGGGCTCAATTTGAGCGGTTTGTCTGTTGTGAGATATAAACCAGAAGTCAACCTCATATCTGCTGCAATTGGAGTTCCAGGTAGAATAGACTCAGTGCTTAGAAGGTGATAATTTCTCAGTAATTTTATACACCACTCTTGAAAAAGAATACACTAATTATGTGGAAAGATTCCGTTGATTTTCTCTGCTAGAGCTGCAGCACACTATAACCTTTTTTCAAGTTTTCAAAAATCAAATGTTATTTTCTACGTCATCAATTTGATGAGTCATTCTAGCTTTTAGAAGAGAGAATTTGCGAGAAAATATTACCCTTTTCATGTAAAAAGGTGATGGATGCATTGACTTGATTATTGAAGCGATCGAATAAAAGGGAACACATTTCTAGAGCAGTATATTGAGTTGCTGAAAAATAGTAGTTGCCTATGTCTCAGTAAAATTTGAATTAAAATTTTCAAGTTTAGGACGAACTCAGCAGTTGTTTTAGTTCATGAAATTATTTCTCCTTAAGATTCTAAATCAATGTAAAGCTTAAATAAATTCAACAGCTTTGCACATCACTCAAACATCACTAGGCATAATTTGTAATATCTTACTACCACTTAAAGCGGTTAAGTAAGAGAGAATTCTGTTAGATTCAACAGCATTGAAAGCATGAAGAAGAATGAACGAATGCATTGGTGTTGAAGAATGAGTGGCCGGGCAAATGTGCTTAGGTGGTGCAGTGGTTAGAGCGGGTTTGATTCCCGCCTGAGGCCGTGTTTTTTGTTCACCACTGAATTCTCAAAGTTATATAAGTCATAACACTGCGAAATAAGCAGTAGAAATACTATGATTTCGAAGTAATGTTTATAACAATAGCTGTCAGCTTAACGGGGTTTACAAGGCGAAATCGCATAACCGACCAAACCTGCTGAAGGTTGGTGGATGATAGCTAACATGAAGATGTTGAAGAATGAGTGGTCGGGCAAATGTGCTTCGGTGGTGCAGTGGTTAGAGCACGCATCCCCGGATAGGATGAACGCGGGTTTAATTCCCGCCTGAGGCCGTGTTTTTGCTCACCACTCAATTCTCAAAGTTGTATAAGTAATATCATAACACTGCGAAATAAGCAGTAGAAATACTATAATTTCGAAGCATTGAAAGCATCAACAGATGAGGACATGAGCGAAGGGAACCTCAACGCAAAATGCAAGAGGTTTATAAGACATGGTGTCATAAGTATAACTCCATACGTCGTAGATGACAATTATGAACTATAGTTGTCAGTCCGGTGAGAATACGCTTTTCCTCAAAGTTAATGTGAGACGTTGTTCAAAATTCGACATTTGCATTTCCAAATTTTTTCGTCAGAGCAAAGATATTAAAATGGTGAAGAGGTCAGGGATACAGTTTCAACATAACATGAAGAGGTTCATGTCCCTCTTCCTGCTCTATGACACGACAAGCCGATAGACATCTTCTGAAGAGGAATTTAGGAGCAGTACCGCAAATTAAACAATGAGTGGATCCAAACGGCAAAAGCGGCAGGTTTAAGACCATCTATCATCACTCAATCAAAAATCCAATCACCAACGTGCCCCGTCTTATATTTGCTTATGAAAACACTAAGTTAGTATCCACTGATAATCTAATGTCTAATAATCCATCCTCATTCAAAAATAGACCCATCATCAGCTGTGTAGACGAACCGAGATAGGATAGCCTGGTTCTTGAATTTAATAACATTCCAGTTAGTAGGACACATTCCAGCCTGTCTGCCTAATACTCAGATGTTCCTGGACCGTCTGCGCAGCGCGAATCCAAATAACGCGTTCGTAATGGAGTAATTTGACGACACTTCTCTCCATACCAACGTGTCAAATGTCTCTGCATTACAAGCCACACAAGAGCTTCTTACAAAACATCAAGGAGCTGTCAACATGTTTGGCTCATCGATTCAGCAATCATGATGCTCTTAAAGGACTGTCTGAATTGCTTAACCTTTAGAAAGTCCAGGAAGTACTTTCTACAGACTATAGGGTTGGCAATGGGGCAGCGACTGGCGCCTAACCTAGCTATTGCCTTCATGTCCAAAATAGAAGCTCCAGTAATTGATCTCCGCCCATTACTCTACTGTAGGATAGCTTGGTCATGTGTTAGGCAGATGTTTTAGATTGCTAGGTGAACAGTCAGAGTGCATAAACTTTACCCGTAAGACACCAAAAGATAATTGGCTTTCTTTTTTGAACGTGCAAATAAACTTAAGCGATAAAGGCTATATTACAAAGTGGTACCGAAAGCCAAGTAATAATAATATCCTTGTTCACTATCTCTCCTCTCATCTTTCGCACATTGAAAAGGCGTTAGTAAAAAACATCTTCGAACAGCCGCTGCTGTGTGCACTGGAGAGGAGCAGAGAAGAGAATCCGAAAAGCTGGCTCGGAAGATAACCCTTTCTAATGGCTACAACTTTGTAGCCCCCGGCTTAGGTTTAGAGGAAACAATACGTCCTTACACGAAAGTTCTAGAAGAAATAAGATCCCGTTTATCTTCCCATACTTTTCAAATGAGATAAGTACGACTATAAAATGTTGTTAAAAAGAGTAAGCTTAGAGCATCTGGTATCAGTAACAGAAATACCACCAAATACTATTACGTGCCAATCAGTTCGTAATCGTTTATATGATCGCCTCTGCACAACAAAAAACTGCCGAATGTGCCTTTACGGCAGAGACGGTGATTACATGAGCGTAGGCACAATGTACCTAATCTCTTGCAAAGCGTGCGACGATGAATATATTGGCGAAACGGGTAGGCCGCTCTATGCTCGCATAGAAGAATACCTAGCTGACATGCACCACACTAGAAAAAACACCTCGCTGGGTATGCATAGAGCCCAAAAGCATGCCGGAGGATTTGATATAGAAGTCACCATCCTTGAGCAGGAGCAAAAAACATTAGCGCGAAAGATACTTGAGGCGTTCTGGATAAACACGACCAATCCAGCTATGATCTGCAGGGAACAATGCCTCGTAATCACCCGCGAAATGAGTCAGTATATAAAACTGTCGTTTTGATGGGTATAGTGCATTACTGGCCTATGTGATTACCGTTTCCGTTGTTCTTCACCTGCTCATACAGTGGAATACATATAACAAAACCGGTGAGTATGTTTAAGGTTGACTTTGTTCTTGATGCGATCGAAATCTAGGTCTGACAATTTTCTCTAAAGAAGTGATGGAAGTGTTTGACTGATTGGATTTTAAACATCTTTGACCCTTCCAGGCTCTGACGAAGGCGATCTGCCGAAACGTTATCTGTTTGATTGCGTGAATAAAGCTTGGATTCAACACCTCGTGGCCCGCTTAAGAAGAAAGAAAATAAGACTCAGCTGTAATAAAAGACAGGATAACGTGACTCATTCTGCTACCAGCAACATTCGATAACCGATTCATATGACATTTCGCGACAAGTAATTTGTGTAGGCATTGACTTGAACATGCGGAAATAGCAGATGAAACCTCGTCAGGATTTATTCCTTTTCCGACAGTCTAATTTTAAACAAAAGTCTGTTTTTGCGCACTTCTCGTTACAATTCGGTCGCGCCATCAACACGGATACTGTGAAGAGCGCCGACCTTTATAGGGTGCCCTTTAGACACAATCTAAGCTCATGCTTGATTTTTGAGGCATGCTCACGGAAAAACATTTGATTTTTGCCTATTTTGTTACCTATTGGGTACCTCTTTCATATGTTTTTGATACTATACAGTAAACATCAAATCCTCATTACCAAAACTCACTGAAATTACACACAAAAAAAAACAAAAAACAAAAAACGAAAAACAAACCAACAAACAAAAAAAACACAAAAAACCCACACAAAAAACATAACAGAACAACCAAACAAAAAACAAAACCAACAAAAACAAAAAACCACAACAAACAAACAACAAACACAAAAAAACACACACCAACAAAAACAACAACAAAAACACAACCACAACAAACCCCCCAACAACCAACAAAACAAAATACAAAACAATAACAAAAACACACACAAACAAAACCAACCAACACATAAAAACCAAAAAAACACACAACAAACACCAAAAAACCAAAAACACAAACAACCAAACAAAAACGAAACACAAAAACCAACACAAACAAAAACACACCAACAAAACAAACCAAAAAAAGAACAAACCAACAAACACACCACAAAACACCCAAACCAAACAAACCCAAAACAACAAACCAACACACCAAAAAAACAACAACGAACCAAACAACAAAAAACAACCTACACAAAAAAAAACACCAAAAACCAACACACCAAACAACACAAAAAACAAAAAACCACAAAAAAAACACAAACACAAACAAACAACGAAAAACAAAACAAACAAAACCACACAAAAAACACCAACAAAAAAAACAACACAAAAAAAACATAACAATCCAAAACAACAACACAAAAAAAACAACAACAAAAAAACCAAAAAACAAACCAAAAAAAAACCACCAACACAAAAACAACAACACAAACACAAAACCCCCAACAAAAAACAAACAACCAACAAACAACAACAACCACAAAAAAAAACACCACCCAATAAACAAAAAACAAAAAAAACAAAAACCAATACAAAAAAAACCAAAAAAAACAAACCAAAAACAACCCAAACAAAAAACCACAACAAAACAACAAAAAAAACAACAACCAAAAACACAAACAACACAAAAACACAAACACAACAAAAAAAAACCACAACAAAAAACCCGAACAACACAACAAAACAACAAAACCACAAAACACAAAAAAACCAAACCAAAACAAAAACAAACCAACACAACCAAACACAACCAACACAGACAGACAACAAACACACAAAAAAAAGCAAACAAACAAAAAAAAACAAACAAAAAAAAAAACAAACCAAACAAAAAAACAAACACAATAACAACACCCACCACAAAAAACCAAAACCAAACACACAAAAAAAAAAAACAAAACCCAACAACAAACAAACACAAACACAACACAAAACAAAAACACAAAACAAAAACAAAAACAAACAACCCAACACAAAAAAACAACAAAAACACACCCCACAAAACAAAACAACAAAACAACAAAACAACAAAAAAAAAACCAAAACCAAACACCCAACACAACAACCACAAAAACAAAAACTGCTATTTTAGCATCGTTCAATTGCTCATTTTATTGCCAACATTTCGATATATACAATTTTCCTAAAACTTACTTCATGTGTAGGTGTCGTGTGAACAAATTTGCTTGATACTCATGGCACAAATAGCGCGTAGGAGAAGATGCTAGTGGAACAGCGCGCAAAATTAATGGGTATTGTGAGTGATGACACTATCGCAAAAGAACGGTTAAGAAGTTTTTTCTCGCAGATTTCAAAGCTGGAGAGATTAACCTGGAGGTTTCAGTCGAGGTCGGATCGTTCACGAAGCTCATTAATCTTCCCCGCCGCTTCATCAGCATTCTCCAATACGCGCCATTTGTGTATGGGTAGCCAGCGAATTTGTTCCCACGACAGTTCCGTCATAAGGCAAGTATAGGCAAATTGTGTATCTCAAAGTTTGTAAGAAATGTGTAATTGGAAGGTGCCATGATCATGCAAATTTAATGACTTTTGGTTAATGAATTTACTCTTAACTGATCTAGTACTAAAACTTATGCGACGACCTAAAAAAGCGCCTAGTGGTCTCCAGTCCACCTCCTGTGTTTTTGATGCTTATAACACCTCTTTGTGTAATGAGGAATCACCTAATCATTTCTATGCGCTTCCACAATTTAATGAAATTTGCAATCATGCAACGAATGTCACAAATTTTGAATCTTATTTCTAATATCCTTTATCATACCATACCTAAAAGTTATCACAGTTACTGAAAATCAGAAATCAACGATCTGTTTGTCAAACATGGTGCTACAGACGTATTCAATCTGACCAAAACAGAGATTGAGTGGGAAATTATTGGGAGGACAGCTTTCTCTTATACTGCTTACAGTTCTACATATGTGTAAGATAAG